GGGGCAGGGCAAGGTATGAAGCCATGAAGAAGCACTTGGGAGCCGTGGGTGCTCTCTCCAAGCAGTATTGGCAGTACCTGGCGTGCAAGGTGTGGCAAGAGGGCTGCGAAGAGGAGGAGGAGGAGGAGGAGGAAGAGAAAGAGCCCAGCCCCGGCCCAGGTAAGCACCTTCCTGCTTTCTCTCCCTCTCCCACGCCCCAGGAACAGCAGCGGGTCCCAACGCCGCGCTGCCCCCAGTGCGGGGGTCTGCGCCCCCAGCCCCCGCGGGCGCTGCCCTTCCCCCGAGGGTCAGTTCTACTATCAGGGAATGCAAAAAAAAAAAAAAAAAGACATTTGGTGGCACGTCTCTGCTCAAGCTGCTGCCTTTTCCAGGCTGGAGCTTGCCTCTCGTGGGCCAGGATTACCTGGAGATCCTCTCCACCTGGTACTGCAGCTTCGGCAAGTGCTGCAAGACAGGAGACTGCAGGATAGTCAACAATATCACAGGTAGGTGCTGTGCTGCACTCGGGAGACCCCAAGCAGTGCTTGTCTCTGCTGCCTCTCCCTGTTGTCTCTTTTGTTGTTTGTTTGTAGGTTTTTTCTGTTTAAAAAAGCATATTTTAGTAAGCGAGGTAAGTAAATGGCATTTCTGAGCAGGGTGCTGAGCTGGTGGGAGGGCAAGGGGCTGAGCTAAGTCCTGTTTCCCATTATTCATTTGTAGCTCTCAGACCACAAAAGAATTTGCTCCTTGCTGTACGGCCTATCGGCTCCGGTTTGCCGCAAGCCCTGCCTTCACCTGGCAGCTCCCAGACATATCCAGTGGGATCCAAACTGGCCCAGTATCCAGCCCCGGGTCGGGAGGGTACACAGAACCTGCATGTAAGCCCCGCACAGGTGTCATTGCACCTTGCTGGCCCTCAGATTTCTGGTACCCATACCCCCTCCCTGGGAGCTCGTGAGGGCCTGTGGGCTTCAGTGCTCTCCACAGCCATCAAATATCTCCTCTGCTTCCCAAAGATGAAAAGGAGTCAGTGGAAGATCTGTGTCTTTTTGCAGTCAGTGGCTGATACAGGCAGCCTGCCTGGTTAACCCCATGGCTTTGATGCCTTTTCAGACTCTTCTCAGACAGGCAGCCCCATCCACAGGGCTGTGTGAGCTTAGTGCCCTGCCACCTTATCTCCTCTTATTCCCTCCTGCAGCAGTAGCAGCGGCTGGGCTTGCAAGTTAAAGCTGAGCTCTTGCTCTCTCTTTCCTGCAGGGCTAGAAGCAGACCTCAACGGGCAGCTCCATGGCCAGCACTTGGCCAAAGAAGTCATCATCCGGGCGGTGCAAGGGTTCCTGCAGAGCCCTCAGTCACAGAAGGCTCTGGTCCTCTCCTTCCACGGCTGGTCCGGCACGGGCAAGAACTTTGTGGCCCGGATGCTGGCCAGTCACCTGTACCGGGATGGGCTGAAGAGCGAGTGTGTCAGGGTGTTCATCTCACTCTTCCACTTCCCCCATCACAAGTACGTGGACTCGTACAAGGTGAGAGCCAGCAACACGGTGCTGCTGTGGGGATGGTCCAGTGTACTGAGTCTGGCTGGGATGGAGTTCGCTTTCTTCACAGCAGCCTGTAGGGTGCTGTGTTTTGGGTTTGTGAGTAGAACAGTGTTGATAACACACCACTGGTTTAGCTACTGCCGAGCAGTGCTTGCGCAGCCTCAAGGCTTTCTCTCTCTCCCGCTCTGCCCCCGCATTCAGTAGGTTGGGGGTGCGCAAGAAGCTGGGGGGGGGACGACACACCAGACAGCTGATCCCAGCTGACCAAAGAGATATTCCATGCCATTTAACGTTGTGCTCAGCAATAAAAACTGAGGGGAGGGGGTTTTGGGGTAGGAAGCCATTGCTCAGAGACTGGCTGGGCATCAGTGGTAGGTGTGAGCGATTGCCTTTGCATCGCTTGCTTTGATTTCTTTCTCCTTCCCTTTGCCTATTCAACTATCTTTATTTCGACCCGCATGTTTACTTGCTTTTGCTCTTCCTGTTCTCTGCCCTGTCCCACACGGTGGGAGGGAATGAGCAAGCGGCTGTGCGGTGCTTAGCTGCCAGCCAGGGTTAGCCCACCGCATCCAGGCTCACCCCCTGCATGGTCTCCCAGTGGTGGTGACTGCTGCTGGGCGTCTCACACTCCTCCCTGCTGCTCTGCAGGCTCAGCTGAAGAAGCAGATAAGCGAGACTGTGCAGCTCTGCAAGCAGTCCCTGTTCATCTTTGATGAGGCAGAGAAACTTCATTTCGGCCTCCTGGATGCCATCAAGCCTTTCATGGCTCGCTATGACGACAAGGGCAAGGTGGATTACCGGAGATCCATCTTCCTCTTCCTCAGGTGATTTCTGGGTCCCCAAAGGGATGGGGAGGAACAAAGTGATGGAATTTATCCCCCCTGAGGTGTGCGATATGAGGGGTTCTGGCTGCAGAGGAGGGGAAAGAGATGCCTAGCTCCACCAAGAGGCGGTTGCCTCCATGGACAGTTTTGCTTATTGATGCTGGGCATCCTCCCTGGTTATGGGGCATTTGCAGGAGGAACTGAGGTCCAGCTTAGCTGGGACACCTGAGCCAGTGTCTAGGCTTTGAGACAAGGAACCAGTGAGAGAGCCAGTGTGGTGTCACCCTGTGCTCTGGACAGCTGAGCAGGGAGATCCCATACTCCAGGGAGGAAGGCTGGGGCTGCAGGTCTTGGTGGGAAGTTCTTGTACAATGTGGGACTGTTAGTGGGGAGTGGGAGGTGGGGAGTTCCTGCTGCCCAGCCGTGGGTGCAGGCTGAGCTGCCATCCCCCTGCTGTGCTGCCAGGGCCACTCCTGGCATCGGCTCACCCTGTGGTTTAGTGATTGGAGGTTGGTTCCTGGGGTGCACCCCAGCGCTGTCCCTGACCCAGGCCTAGGTGGGACGCATCACCGGGGGGAGAAGTGGGACATCTCAAAACCCAGATGTGAGGTAGGCACATGCCTGAAGTAGCCAGTGAGAAATGCCAAGGAGAGACAAGCACCTCAGGCCCCCTTCAATTTAGGATTTACAGCCTTCAGCTTGGCTCTGGCAAGAGGTGTTCCCACAGGCAGGAGGTGGGCAGAGCATTCGTTCTCCATCTCCCACCATCCGGGCACGTGTTCTAACCTCCAAGCTTGGTGGTTCCCCAGGGAAGTTTCTCTGCCTGTGTCTGTGCCAGGTGCTTGTGGAGCTGACCATGTTTCAGTCCTACCTGCATGGGCCTCCGGCAGCAGCCGTGGTGGAGGGGGCAGATTCTCCCTTGTTGCTTGGGGCAGGGTGGATGTGCTGCCGGCTGCGCTGAGCTGACCTCGTGTCCTGGCAAGCCGTGCAAGCGTGGGAGGGTGACGTCAGCCCCTTTGTGCCACCAAGCAGAGGGGAGAGGGGTGCCTTGAACTGCAGCAGCATGTAATCCTGGGGGGTTTCATCATCCCCGGTGGCAGTGTGACACAGACCTGCGGTAGGAGGGCTGGCTCTGCCCCAGGGCTCCTTTGGACACCAGCCTGGTCCTGCAGCTTTGGCCAGGTTTGGATGACGGGGATGGGTTGGGACTGGCTGGCTGTCCTCAGTCAAAAGGGTCTTGTTTCTCCAGGATCAGTACAAGCTGTTTCCTCCCGCAACGCACCACAGAAACAGTGGTGGCTTTTTAATTTTGGCCCCCTCCATTTGGGGAATGGGTTCAGAGCCTCCGACACAAGAGGAAAGATGGGTGCAAGGCCTGTGTCTCCCACTGCCTCCCGCCTACACAGGCCCTGCAGCCAGCTGGTCCCCAGTATCGCCAGCTCACTGGTGGCGGGGCACTTGGGGCTGTTGCCTGAGGCTGTTGCACACCCCTTGCCAGCACCCAGGGGCTGCCTGGCCCTGAACTGCTGCCCAGGGTGAGGGGCAGCCCTGGGACCCTCAATGACTGTCAGGACCTTGCGTCCCCTGCCACAGAGCTGCCCCCACAGTGGGTGTCCAGAGGAGTCCTCATGTGGGAACTGCGCTGCTTTGTCCCTCGGGCAGGGGATGCTTTGCCAAGTCCTGGGCTGCCACTTGAATCCCTGCCCTGGACCTTTACTTCTAGTGGGATTCCTGCCATGTGCTCTGCCCTCCAACTTGGACTTTCAGGGGTGGCTTGTTAAGAGTCTGGTGTGGGGCCAAGTGTCACCTGCGAGGTCGATGGCATCCAGGTCAGGTCAGGGGACTAACAGGGATGGAGGGTTCTGCTGGCTCCTGGTCCTGCCCTGGGAGAGAAAGCGGCTGCCCCAGGGTCTGGGCTGGCAAGATGGAAGATGGCCTACAGATGCCTGTAGAAAGGGGCCTTTGGGGAAGAAAGCTGGTTCCTCTGCGAATGTTTCAGATGCTGATCCAACATGCTAAATCCTTCGTTGCTAATCATTGCCGAGGCCTGCCTGTTGGGGAGGCTGCTGGCAGCTCTCAGCAGCTCATCTCCTGGGGCACGGCTGAGTGACTGCCCTCCTGTCTGCAGCAACCTCGGCGGCAACACCATCAACGAGGTAGCCCTGGACTTCTGGCGAGCTGGCCGGGCGCGGGAGGAGATCTCCATGGAGTTCCTGTGGAGCTGCTGGAGCCTGCAGGTGAGAGCTGGGCTCGCTTGCAGGATGCTGTGGGCAGGCCGCCCGCAAACCTGCCCCTCCACGCCAGCTCGGGGCCTTGCGTAGGCGGCACCATGCGCCTTGTGCTGCACAAGTGTGTGTGCTGTGGAGCAAGCCTTTATTCCGACACCCACCCTGGGGTTATTTGCAACGTGAGCCCCTTCCTTCATCTACATAAGCACAGCCCTGCGAGCGTGGTGCCGCTGCAGCAGCGAGGTGCTGGAGGAGGGAGCGTGACTCCTCCTTGCCCCTTCAGCCCTGAAAATGGCCAGGTTGCGAGAGGCAGCGTAACACTCTAAGGGAGTATCAAGGCTTCTCTGGGGATTCAGGCTCCTCTTGGCCTGAGGTGGGCAAGCTGTGGTGGCATTCTGTGTTCAGACCAAGTGCTGGCCAGTGCTCTACAAGTGGAAGGGTCTCCCACCACGTCCGGTTGGATGAGCTGAGACAGCCCCCTGAGAAAGAGGAGCCTTGCCTCACCGAGAGATGCCACTTCTCAGATGAAGCTTCTGAAGGTATTTTTGTCTTGTTTTTTGCTACAGAGAACGGTTATGCCCGCAGCCACCTCCTCAACGAGAACCTCATTGATTTCTTCGTGCCGTTCCTGCCCCTGGAGTACCACCACGTGAAGCTCTGCGCACGGGATGCTTTCCTGGCCCGTGGACTTCCATACACCGAGGCAGCCCTTGACGAGGTGGCCAGGATGATGGTGTTTGTCCCCAAAGAGGAGAAGCTTTTCTCTGCACAGGGCTGTAAATCTGTATCCCAGCGCATCAACTACTTCCTTCCTTGAACACCAGGTGGGACTAGGCCAGTGGTGAAGGTGGTTCTGCACACCAGGAGCTGCTCTCCTTGCCGAAAGGGCAGGAAAGCAGGTTACCCAGCCAGGCACTTGCATGGGGACGGAGACTTAACCCCTCGTTATTCTGAGGGCTCTTTGCAGGGACGGAGGAGCACCCTGCTCAGCCTTCCTCCTGAGACATGGGGACAGCCTGCGTTTGGCCACGTTTGAAGTCTGCTTGGTGTTTTTTAAGTCCCTTCTTTTAGCAGGTAGTAGCCTGAAGTAGTGATTCGGTTGTGCTGAGGGGCGCTTTGTTTCACGTGAGCGCCGATGTCCAAGTCCTTGGTTTGTGAGCATGTGAAGAAGGCCATGGGCAGACGGGTCCTGTTGAGACAGTCCAGCAGAAGCCACGTCCTCATCCCCATCCCCAGTTTTCTTGGTCACTTTACAAGCTCTCAAATTGCACAGAACTGTTTAGCTGGAGTTGAATTTCTCTCTCTGTTGCCCTCCTGCACTCACAAGGCGTCTGCCGCTCAGGGACGCGTGCGCCAGGATCACGGTTTGTGCGGGGAGGCCCTTGCGTAGAGAGAACGACTGAATAATCTCCCCTGGAGATGTCAAATCTACAGCCTCTTGCTTCAGAGTGTCCCTCTCGTCGGCCTTCCGTTGTATGGAAGCAGCCGTGGGGATGAGGTGAACTTCTGCTGAAACTCTTTTTCTAAGCAGGTCGGTGAAGAGCTTGTTTGCTTCATTGCAAAATAAAAAAAAAGGGGGGGGGGACTAATTCCCTTTTTGAGGGCAAAGGGCAGTTGAGGAGGCTGGTGGCTGAAGGAACAGGCTGCAGTTGAATTTGGGTTTTCAGGGATGCAGTAAGCTCGGGTTTTTGCTTTTCTTTTTTTCAGTACGTTGCACGCTGTGGGTTTTTGTCTGCTATCAGCATTACTACGCTACGGGGCTGTTTGCTGTCTGGGTGCTTGCCAGGTGATAAGTATGTTACAGCAGGACCAAAAAATTTCAACAGCGTTACGGGAATCACTTTGTGACCTCTAGGTCAAAACTCCCTTCCAACACCGCTGGGCCGGGGCGATGAGGTGAAAGAGCGTACGCCAAGGACAGGGCTTAGCTCCCTGGACACCCCACGTGCGGACCTTTGATCTATTTTAAGCGTCGAACCTCTCTGCCGTGCCAGTGATGAGCGGCACGACCTCTGGGAAAAGATTGACCAGAGGCACGTACCACGCATGCAGACTTTGAGCTTGTGTTTCCCGCCGGGCACGCCGACGCTGTTACCTAACGAGGCTTCATCGTCCAAGGCAGGAGGACAAGCCAGCTGCTTTCTTACGGCTCAGTTGGTGCAAAGTTAGTTTAAACTTACCTGTCGCCTCCGGATTGGACCTTTGGGCCCGGGCCCGGGCGCTGCGATCGGGCGTTTCCGAGAGTTGGCTTGTGGCTAAGCTCTTAATTGCAGGTGTCAAGCCTAAAGCTTCAGCCA